TGTCTGACTTTGATTTAACTGATAGTACATGGGCCAAGATTGTTGGTATAGGCTACAGGTGTTTTCACATTCCTCTATTGAAGGGAGAGATTACTACAAAATTAGATTCAAAAGTCCCCATGCAACTAGATTAGATATTATAGCCAATAGCTGTCTAAAATGCAAATTACGCACGTATTGACAGAGAAGTCTTTAACACAACACTGGCATAGGAACCGAAAACCCCCAGCTAAGCTAACTAAGCTATTTCGTTAGCAAACATGGTTGGGTGTGCAATTTTTTTGATTCCTTTTACATCCGCAAAAAAGTCCCACTAGATATTATTGCGTGTTACACAAACACTAATGTCAGCCATTGCAAGTACAAGCTAACAAGCTAATAAACAAAACAAATAAAAGATGCTAACTACACTTACCAATGATTCTGATGACCTTAGGGGAATTCATCCACAAAAAACACACTGGACGCTGCACTATAGGTCAGAAACCAGAGGAGACTGAGAAGTCAACAATAGACGGACCACTTTTGGACAAAATGTCCTCTCCATTAAAGGCAGCTCATTGTGGAATAGCCTCCCAACTTAGATACGGGATTGTCCCACTCTCAATAGTTTTAAAGGACAACTTAAAGAATAGTTGAGCAACAAACAGACGTGTAATCACCGCTAAATGCACTTTTATACAGAGGTATCTCCTCTTGCACTTTATGTAGCACTTTTATCTTATCTTGCACTTTATATCTACCATAGCTGCTACATTTTACTGCCACGTGGTAAATGCTTGTATGCTGCTCATGCTCTTTCTGCATGTCATGTATTTATTTTTGCTATAAATGTCATGTTCTTGTATGTATGTGACGGGACTGCGGGTGGAAATTAGCTTAAAGCTCAAATCCGGCTCATTAACGCTTGTAAGCATTGTTTACAAGTGTTCATCGATGTGCAATGTCCCGGTTCAAATAAACGATTACATTAAATAAAAAATGAATTCTTTTTTCTATTTTGATGCACAACTGACTCCTCACCTGAATCAAACACGTATGGCTGAGTCTGTCCCACGTTTCTCCCAAAGAAAATAAAACATACCAAAAATGTCCCTGTGAAGCTCCACCACTCTCGCGACCGCCATGTTGCACAGGTAACCGCGCGCGAGCAGTGGTGGGCGGGGTGAAAGAAGGTGTGCTTCAAGCTTAAATTATTATTTAATTTTTGTATTTGTATGTCTGAAAACCATTTCAAACTAAATATTAACCTTGGGAGAGTATTATAATATACTTTAAATACACTTAACATGTTTCGGGGGGGGGNGGGGGGTTGGGGGATACAATAATACAATGGAAAAATTAATCAATTGGCGTACAAGAAGGTCTTATAGGCCTATACACTCACAACAATTATTTTACATTGTGGACAAACTGTATATATAATAAGCAACATTAAGTATAGCAAAGTAGAAGGGCTCCTCTCTGAATGTTGTTGTTGTTGTTGTTATTTGTTCCATGTTGTACGGCTTTACAAGCAGTATTTTAATATAGCTAGTTAACTCAAATTAAAAAATTAGGTTCAGAAAGTTAAGTATAAGTATAGGCCTGTACATTTATATAGAATAGTTCCCATTAAGGGCCTCTATAAGGTCTTAATATAAAACGTCTAACAATACTGACACAATTACAGTATGTCTGCATTACCGCATCCTACATATTTCTAGAAGACTCTCTAGATATTATTATGTAAACTGACTCACATCACATGAGATATTATGAGTTTGGAAATTTAAATTAGATTGCTTGCTGCTCGTATTTGGCAAGTAGGCCTATGTATTGCAACAGAAACTGGTTAAATGTGTCAGGACTCAGGAGGGATGTGTTAAGTGAAATAAATGGTTGAATTAACCAAACCCTGATGGAGTTGGAGAGGACTGAATGGCTGCAGGCCTGAGATGGATGGACTGGTGACCGCTGTCATACACGAGGCTGCAACCAGTCAGCACAATCTGTTCATCCCCGGTTGAGTGAAAGGATAGGGAGTTCCTCGGTGCGTCCACGTCACCGATAAATAATGAGGGAATAATAAACAGTTAACCACCTGTCGGACCCGCGGCACAATGGGACGGCCAATAGAGAGCCTCTCATGCATGGGTAACATATTTACTCAGCCCCTTTCACTTAACGAAGCAGAAAGAGACCCAAAACAATGGTTAAGTTCATCTATTTGGTAAACTATTGCCCTGTTGAAAAAAGGACAACAATCCGAAAATATTTGGATATAATGTACAACTGGATATGTTGTCTATATTGTACATTGTATAACATATACTTAAAATACATATATATATATATATATATATATACATTATATATAGGCCTATATGAATTCATTTAGGAATTTGTGTTCAAAATTCAATCTTCTACTGGTAATCCCTATAAATAATTGGATAAAATGTAATTCTTCTTGTAGGGATACCATAAGAGATAAAATCAGTAATCCCTATGGGGATAGGTCTATCATAAGTGACCATAAACATAGTGGTGTTAGTATGAATATTAATAAAACGTTGAATATTGTAGGAATATAATCATGATCCGATAAAATAGTTAAATGTGAATCAAGACACCACTATAAACTTTTGAATGATAATGATATTAATAATAATAATTAGCATTGAATATAGTTTTCGATAGGCTATGATGGGCTACAAAATACTACAAATTATATCATAATGCCATAGCATATATTTTAAAATGGGTGAATCCAACGATGATTATGATAAAGGGACGAGACTTTAGTGGTCGCTAACAAGGGGGAGGGGCTGTTGTTGGTGGTAATATTTTAGAGATGTGCTTTTAATGGCCTGGTAAAGGAGCGAGGACGTGGCAAGCTTGCAAAGCTCGTAGAAATTAGTCTCGGTCAGCCTGAGCAGCCTATGCTTCCTGCTAACCATCTGCTTACGGCTCACAAAAGGAGGATTTCGGGCAGCCAAGTAAAGGAATACGGGCTCATAAAAAAGCTTTGAAGGTCTCGTTACTCAGTGGAGGTGTAGCTGGTGACGGAGCGCTGTGTTAACGCCTGTTTGCGCGTCCTGCGCTCATAAAGCAGAAGCACCTCTGATAAGCGTCGACCCTCTCCAAAGGATCATTTCACGGAGGCGTTCCCTTTTAATTAGCGGATTGTGGCCACTTTATATTAGATTGATGTCGAACCACTTATCGTTATTTGAGCTGATCCCAAATGATGCAAACTGACTTAACTTAAGACCGACATCTCCCTGTGTGAATAAAACTGATGGTGGCAAGTGGATAAACCGTGTGCCTTTAATCCATTATTTAAACATAAGTAAAAGTGTACTTACACACATTTAAAATAAAAAAGTAGTTTTTCTTTAGATTTGTTATATCAACTGGTATTTAAAACACATTTAAACGACATAATGGCTGAAATAAAAATATACAAACAAATATCATAACTTATTTGATTTGGTAGCCTATAGGCCTACGAGCAGGCAATAATAACTACACACACATAGGCTATATACAAATATATATATAAATCCTTAATTTATAATATAGGGATATTGTAGTGTTTTTTCGTTAAGTGGAAAAAGAGCATAAAATGAAAATATGATAAAGTATATACTTGTATTTATTTTTGTTAAAAGAACAAGCTTGTTGACCGTATTTAAAAAATATAACCCCAAAACATTTGTTAAAGGGCCACAAAATACATACAAAGTAAAATACATTTAAATAAAAATATTAGTCCCTAAATTATAATTTTTCGTTTCTTAAATTAATGTTTATCTATAAATCAAACTTTTGTTTGATTGTATTTCTTTTTTAACTGTGGTTTCAAACTGGCGTTTTTTCCCCTCTGGGTCTGCAATGCATTTCGCCTGATTGCTTTGCGTTAACGGGTTTTCAGGGCAAAGCTGACAGAACACGACTATCAGGCTCCAAGTCGCTTTAATAAGAGTTTTATATGGGGTCTCAGTGTCCGCTCATATGAATGCATTTTAAATCAAATCACAGATGCACTTTTATTCAGCCGGTTAAAATAGCAGAACAAAACCGTCTTTAGAAATAAAGCTTTTTTTATTCCTCTGGGCTTTTTTCTGAAGCGGGGAGAGAAAGGCCGAGGGGCGCCTCCTCCGCAGCTGAGGGTGACAGTTAGTTCATGGTTAACAGGATCAGGAGCGCACGGCTCAGGCCGCACACTTCTCCTGCACTGAGCTGCGGCTCTGCGCACTGAATGAAGCCCATGCAAAAAGAGTGATATTTAACACATCTGTTAAAGCGTTTTGATAGCAGAAATCCGTTTAAGACATTATTCCATGACGAGGGCCAGATTGAGTGTTGAGAATCCTATGAAACCCTAAACCTGATTTACATCTGAGATGCTGCGCAGCGTCTGCAACTATAGTGTAGCCTAGATAATGTAGATTTAACAATGCAGTTAAATCGCTTATTCTAATAGTATTAAATTGTTTAAAGCGTACTCTTAGCAGCCTGTAGGTGTGTATTCCTGCTGCACTGAAAAACAGAATAAAAGAATAATTTAACATTTTAAGGAGGAGGCTATATTTTTTATATCCTGCATAACAGAAAGAGAGCCTGAATAGACAAGAATAAAGTATCCTCTTTATACTCATTAAGAGTCCCCATATAATGACTGGATCTGTAAAGATTGCTCTTTAATTAGGCAGCTTGCCTCTGCCAAACAAAACAAATTGAAAGGAAAGTGGTCAACATGCAAAATTGATGACTGAGCCTCTTTTGTGGGGGGGACTTTGTGTGTTGCTTGCTTATGAAGTCTAATGCAATCATAAATTGCGTCCCTGGGCCAATCAGCGGGCCGGGGGATGCGGCATGAAAGCGACCCATGTGGAGGACTTTGTTGAGCCCCATTGTTGAGGCTGTCAGCCCTGAGCGGGAGGGGCCGGGGGGGGGGGGGACGGGCGGGCGTATAAACTCCTCTCCCCAGAGTGAGGAACCAGAGGAGTTTGCAGCCATTCACACGACTGATTCTCTCCCAGCTGACCTAAGGAGTATCTCTGATTCCACCCAGTGATTTTTTAAACCGGGACCATGATGATCCCAAGCGTCCTCGCGCCTCCAGCCTTCTACCCGGGTCTGTACCGGCCGGCTCTGCCGCTGCACCACGCGCTGCCCTCTGGCTTCTCCAGCCACTCCAGCTTTCTAGTGGAGGACCTGTTGCGGATAAGCCGCCCCACAGCCTTCGTTAACCGGACTGTCCCGTCAATGTGCGCCTCCCTGCCCACAGCCACCACCACCCTGTCCTTCAGCAGCGCGCATGCAGAGCGCGCATTGGCCACGACCGCGTTGACGCGCGAATCGTGCTCGCCTAAAATGTCGAGCAGCAAAGACCCAACTTTTCTCAAGTTTGGCGTGAGCGCCATCCTCGCACCTTCACCAAAGACAGGTGAGAACCCAGAATTCCTGCTTTCAGTTCGTATTGATGTGTTTAACTTTTAGATGGATTTCTGTCATTCAGGAATGATTGTGTAACATGTGTGATGTTCCTCCACAGTGTCCTCACATCCTGCATTCCACAGCCAGCACTCCAAGAGCTTCCCCTTCCCCTACTTTGATGGGACCTTTCACCCCATATTCAGGACTCCTTATTTACCAGGTAGGCACAGCTTTTACGACCCATCCCATTTCAGCCTTCGGGAATCTGTCTGAGCTAATTGCATTTAGATGTAAAACACTCTGGCACCCTGTCAAATATTTTTTTACCAGAGAAGAAGAAATCACTGTCTTATTAATGGGGACCGTTGGCCTCTGCCAGGACCCTGCGCCAACCCCCTAATTAACCAATTATCCCAAATCGTCACGCTCTAAATTTGAGGCGGGGTGGCGAGTTAGAGTCCCCCCTGCTTCCCATTGGGGGCGTTTTGGCATTTCCCTGGCCCCGCGTTTTCCCACAGAGCCCGGGGGGCCACCGGGCCGCTGTTGCGGGCAACAATGCCTTCAGCACCATGACCAATTTGGTCAGCTCCCACCGGGCGAACCACCCACACACCCCGGAGAGTGACTTTTACCAGGGGGGCCAAAGGCGTGAACCAGTCATGCACTAATTTCCCTATTAGGCGCTATTGACTGTGTTCAATATTCTCACAAGACCACATAGCGCGTCGTTGTTCCTGATTCTGCTGCGGCCACAGGGCACATACTGTCAGGGAGACGTCCAGTTAGCAGCGTGCACACAGGCACAGTGTCTCGCACCGTGGGAGTTAAAGTAAAGTTTCTAACTGCATCTGTAATGTCCCAGCTGGGGAAAGTCTGTCCCTGCAGGCCCATAGGACAGGTTACCACTGACCTCCATCCTCTCTGTGCCCTAAACGTTTATTCTCCATGCAGGCCAATCAACGAGTTGAGATAAAGAATAATCTCTTAGAAAAGTCTATAAAGTCGCTAGTCCGTGCTTTCATTCAGGCACATCATAATGGTGATGGAGTCTTTTCATGGGCTCAGCTGAATGCCTCAACAATACAACTCCAGCGTCCTGAATAGCTTTTCGTGTTCATTTAATGAAAATGATTTGAAGGCAAGGAAGAGAAAAAAAACCCCGCCATTCCCCCTACCCCCAGGGCATCAGTATTCTGGTATGCAGTTGTGTTTAGTTTGAAAGTGTAAATCTCCTTTTGTTGCGATAATATATGGCCTTCGCCGCCTGTCCCGAGTCTTTTCTGCGTTAGTTCATTACTACACAATTACCGTTCACGGTTTATTAACTCCTCTATCCGCCCTCACAGGGTTCCTTAAAGGATATGCTACCTCTTTACCATACCAATGCGGTTGGGGTCCGGCCAATGTGCTAATTAGTCACCTCGTGCCATTTCACTGAAAACGGAGACGTATTGCACAGTTCCAAAGGAAAAAAAAAAAACTTCCAATAATAACCAGTTGAGAAGTATAGCCTTAAGGGACATAGGCCTACTTTTTTTTTAATTTAGATGCCTGAGGTTTTGAGTTTAGATTTAAAAGGGTCATTTGAGGCAGAAAAGTGGTTGTTTTTTTATTTTCTGCGAACTTTTCTCACTAAGATGTTGCAAATATATATTTATTTTCTAACATATTTTATTCTGTTTGTTTGTATTGCAGTATCTTCATCCGTTATTCCCATTCCCGGGACCTTTTCGTGGCCCCTGGCCGCTAGAGGTAAACCCCGGAGAGGAATGCTGAGGAGGGCGGTGTTCTCCGATGTGCAGCGCAAAGCTTTGGAGAAAATGTTCCAGAAACAGAAATATATCAGCAAGCCGGACAGGAAGAAGCTGGCATCGAAGCTGGGCCTGAAAGACTCACAGGTAAAAATCACAAATGTCCAACATGTCGTGCGTAATTTCCACGTAAAGACGCTGTTGTGTGATCCACTGCACCTGACGCAGAGCTCTTTAACTCACAATCTCCTCCTCATCCACAGGTGAAAATCTGGTTCCAGAACCGGCGTATGAAGTGGAGGAACTCCAAGGAGAGAGAGCTGCTGTCCTCCGGGGGCTGTCGCGAGCAGACCCTGCCCACCAAAGCCAACCCGCACCCGGACCTTAGTGACGTAGGCAAGAAGTCCTCAGCCGAGGAAGATGAGGAAGAAGAGTTTGCAAGAGAGAGAACGATTGCAGGGTCCAGCATCTCCTCTCCATCTTTTTCCAGCAAGCACTCGGACTTCTCAATGTCAGACGACGAAGAAATAACAGTATCTTAATTTATTTTAAATATAGAGAATATAACCCCTGTTTTGTTTTCATATGAGACTGTGACCACATCTGTAAGAAGCTGCCGGCCTTGAAGGGGACCCCATAGATGTCATTGTTAAAAAAACAAAAAACAATCGTGTTTGTTGCTTCAGGTGCACTGCAGGATCCACTTCTTAGACACAATTTGCTGTTTTGCACAGCTTTGTTCAATTGTACAGTATTTTGTACAATTTTGTATGGACATTTTATGCCAAGAATATTGAGTTCCTTTTACCTTGACCTTGAATAGAGTTGTTTATTGAAAATGTAGCTATTTCGTTAATAATTTATATGAATTTTTTTAATAAGTATGTTGTATTATGTGCTGTATATATGTTTATTTCGCACGTTTTGTACAAATACCAAATAAAATTGTGAACATTTCAAAGTCAAGACTATGTGTGTATGTATTTTTATTAAAAAACCTTTTGACAACATTCAATCATAAATAATCATTATTTTTATTAAATCACAATAACTTAAGACTAGTACAGTGAGCCCTGGACAGACCAGCGATGACAAACGGCATCAATCTGCTCTGGTGTAAAGACACTGTACACAAAATACTCCTTTTCAAGTACTGTAACAAATCAGCTAGAAAAAAGTCATCAAAATGCTGCAAGATAATCATCTATTTACAAACTTATGTTACATATCAAAAAATGTACATAGCAAAGAAGGCTAAACATTCATTGAGTTTGTGAGTAATAAACTGACAGACTGGTCAAATGCTTAGACAACATCCACACTCCTCAGGCTCTACTGAAGACAGACAGAGAATCAGTCTCTTTGTGCTTACAAGGACCATAACAGAGTGTGTCTAAAGCTACACAGACACACCCGGACAAGAACATGGGCCACAAATCTGAAAAAATCCTCACAAATATAGTTCCATGCTGTATGTCTCAGCAGTGCTGAAAAAGTAGAGATCTAGCGCATCAGATTTGGGCTTCCATTGGGAGTTCAGAATGAGTGTTGCATAGGATCCGAGACAAAAACACTGAACACGATGGAAGCCGCGCTACAAGATGTGACCCCGGATTTAATCGTATATGCCTGCCCTTCCCAGAAGGCAGTCAGGGGGGTTTAAAGCAAATAAAAGGACAATATTCTTTATATTCTAAGCCACATGGCAAACTGTTTTAACATTACCATCCAACCACAAGTACCTTTATACTTCAGATTAATTATATCACTATAAACAAAGCAGCATACACTAGTTTTTACTTAATTAGTTCAACATGTTTGTCAGTTTTATCATCACAAATCACATAAAACAGACTGCACAGTCAAAGGATGGGGATGAGGTATAAAATCAACATGTCTTAAGCGTCCCTTCCCCAAACAACCTGCAACACGTTCTGATTTGGAGCACCATAACACATCTATATATTTTTTCTTTCTCGCTAGTGGTCCAAATATTTACACCAGCTTCACAGCACTGGGTCACACATGCATACGACTTATTTTGAAACCCAAAGTACTGCCTCTCATTCACGCCTTAATCGCATGGCATCGGTGTCAGATATGATGAGAGGTCGAGGAGAGTCGACTCGGAGCCCTGTGAGTTTACAGCCATTTAGACAAATAAAGGATCGGCTGATGCTCGTAGTCTGTTAGGGAAAAGAGTAAGGCATTGTTTGTTAGGATTCAGTCCAGCACCAAGAAAAGAGACTTTGTGCTACAGCCGCCTGTTTGGGCCAGTGTGCATGGAGATCTCCGAGGATTATAAGGTGATCCAAGCAAGGACTTATAAATAGTAGAGACATTGTTTGTTTGTTACACAGAAAGATACAAAACAGATCAAAACGGGTAAATCTAACCATAGTGAATTTTATTTTCCCAATTAGTGCCCTTACCTCCTGAAAGTCTTGTAAAGGGAATTTATAAATTAGATCTTGTCTTTGACTTTAAATGTCGGAGTTAGTAGTGTTTTAGTTGTGTTTTGGCCAAATAAAATGATGTATTTAATGTATATGTTGTTCTGCACTATTTCAAAGGCACTGCTTTCTGGTAGAACAACAGTGTCTCAGCTATCAGGCTGAACATCAGAATTAGAATACCTGTATTAGTCCCACAGAGGGGACATTTACAACATGCGACCAAATCAAAGGATTGTAGTGAGTATTGTTGATTCAATTGTCTGAGCTTGTCTTTTTAATTTTGAAGATGTTTCCACATTCTTCGCTCTGGTGGTGAAGCAGTGTTTGCAAAACGTCCTTGTCACGTTGTTTGTATCATGGATTTGCACATAAAAACACATCATTTAAGTCCACACAGGCCTTTGTAGATTTAACTCAAAAACCTTCAGATGTACCTGTAATTAGTGTTCTCTAATAGCCTTTCCATCTTATCTTAATGGGCTATTACTATTTCTTTAAACTCAAATGTGGCTGTGATAAATTAAGGATGTAATTAAATATCTCTCTGAGTGAGGACTTAACATTCACTTTGCCTCGAATTATCCTCCAACTATAACACAGGCAGCTACAGTCATAGAGGAAGAGGAGGAAGCTGCTGGCTGTTCCTCCATCCCAGCAGCCCACCTCTGTGTTCTCAGCAGCTGGTAGCTCAGAAACAAGGGTCTGTGTCGCCCCCATCAGGCCGCGGAGGAGCACTGCGGCTGGGCAGCGTCTCCGCCTGAAGATCTGCTCCTGTGGCTCAGAGAGGGTTAAAGAACTCCTGGCTGCTGATGGCTGATGACGGTGATGATGACGCCTCACAAACAGTGGCAGGCTGTGTGCTTTTTATTCTGTCTTTCTGAAGTAGATCTCAGGCTCCTGACAGAGGAGCCCCGGGCCACAGCGGTGAAACAAATACAAATAAAAATAACAGCGCAGTGCAGCAGAAATGTTCATTGCCCGTTTTCTGAAATGCAAACCTTTTTCATCTCTTCTTTTCTAATAATTGGGTTACCTGCACCCAAATTAAGGTGGCTGGATTTTTGCGGCATGAAATTAGATATATAAGTTTTCACAGTTCTTATAAAAAGTTCCTCCTGAAAGCCAGTGTTGCATCACAAGGTGGACTCCAGCGACGTGTCCAGGATGTCGTCCTGGTGACTGTTGCTGTTGGAGTCGCTGTCGTAGCTCTGAGGGCTCGATGACGTTGCCGCCTCCTTCAGACGCATCAGCATGTTCATCTGTGGACAGAAACACAGCTTTACAACTCAGTTCCCTTAAAGAAATACATTCAGGGTCCAAATGCTAGCTTTAGATCTCTGTAGCGAGCCAGGAAGCTAAGAGTAAAGTTAACTTCTTATGTAATTTATAAAAAGAATACAGTGTGTTTCTGCTCACCAGGGGGTCTGCGTCGCTGTCGCTCTGTGGCGGCTCCTTCCGGACCCCTTCTCTCGGGGCAGAGTATCCATCGAAGCCCACGTCCTCTGGGCGGAGCTGCAGCAGCGGGGGCCAATCAGCCGGGGTGGACGAAGCTGACCAGGGGTAGCTGTCAATCACAAACACAGCCGGGTCCTCCCACGCTGCCCTGCGGCCGTACAGCTACGGAGAGACACGCAATGTTACATTAAACATACTGGTCTGTCATAATAGATGGCACAGTGAAGTATGTGATAGAAAAATATAAAATATTATAAAATAAATAAAATAATTCTGTAAAATATCATACAAAATTACAGTATAGTATATCGTAGAAGACATTTCATAAAATAGTCACAGTGTAAAGTATGTCCTTAAACTGTCATACAATGTAAAATGTATTTGTATCAGATTCCTGCTAGTTCTTTTTCAAACTTGCTTTGCTCACAGTGCAGAACCATGCATTCACTTTTATTTAGCCTTGCTGAACTAATGGTTATTTCTAAATACAAATGTTAAGTATTTGAGGTGGAGATTAAATGCAGCCTATCTGAGCGTGTAAGGAAAGCGTTTACTGAACTCAGCCTTTGAGCTTTCTTCCCTTCTACTCTGCTCCGGTTATTAGCTGCTGCATAATTCAATCAGATGCTAATTACATGCAGATTAAGAGAACAAATTAAATCCATTTCACTTTGATGAACATAAATCTGTCCTCTGAGAGGGCAAATCTGAACGTTTGTATCCATCTCAGACTCATTACACTTCCATTTTATTCATTTGTATTCCTTAGACATGCCTGCCGGTTGTCAAATAAAGTCTGTTTAGTAATTATTTTTGCTGTAAAATTATTCTGTCATTTTCCATGTGTGTCTGTGTGTGTGTGTGTGTGTGTGTGTGTGTGTGTGTGTGTGTGTGTGTGTGTGTGTGTTACCTGCAGTCCCTCTCGTACGGCCTCCAGCATGTAGGGGATGATGGAGTAGTTCCAGAGGTCAGTGAACCAAACCCTGGATCCCTCCACGTCCATGGGACAGGACAGGAAGAGACGAGGTCCTGCACGCCACGGGGCAGAGAGTTAAGACACTAATGTTTTCACACATTGATATTATTTTAAAGGCTCTCCTGTGAATTGTGCATCTTCCTCTTACCGATGGTGACGTCAGAGGAGCTGTGCGTCTCCAGGAAGCGGTTCAGGTGGTGCCACACCCGCGGGATCCAGTCGATGATCCTCACCAGCTCCATGTTGCGTGTCCGGCTGCCGATCTCCGTCTCGATCAGCTTCCGCCTCAGGAAGCGGCCGAGGAAGCCTTTCACCGGCTCCACGTGGTTAGCGCACAGCACCCACCTGATCAGAGAACACACATGTGTATCATGAAGGACAGTTTTCACCACGTTGAAATTTATTTTAAGAAAATGTCCAATATCCAGCTGCTCCTTAGGTGCCGGGTATCATCATCAGTTTACCTGAAGTTGTGGTGAAGCTGCAGGTTGGGGGCGGAGGATGTAGCCTGGCTCATGGTGCCAATAATGTAGGGGCTGAAAAGATGGAAAATCAGAGGTTACATGAGTCCATTGCATTATGCACATTTAAAAAATAGTAATTAAGTGATTTTTAAGACCTTTTTAATACCTCTTTAAGAGAAAAAATACTACTACTGCAAAAAAAAATTAACAAACTAGCCCAAACGATTTTATTGGTAAAATCAGATCAAAAAAGAACCCCTCCCCATCTACATAAAAAAGAACCCATCCCCATCTACATTGTAAGACATTTTTACTTTTAATATCAAAAACAACATTTAGGATGGTTCAGGACTTTTTAAGGATCAGCATCTTTTCAGCCCTTTCTCAGTAGTTGATTAATGGTTGTGTATCCAAATGCTGCAGCTGAATGTGAATGTGTGTATGTGTATGTGTGTGTGTGAGAGAGAGAGAGAGTGAGTGAGTGAGTGAGTGAGTGAGTGAGTGAGTGAGTGTGTGTGTGTGTGTGTGTGTGTGTGTGTGTATG